AAAATAAATCAACTGTAGTGTGATTCTAGGATATTAACATCTAGTTGGAAACTCAGCTATGTGGCTCTACCTACTGGCTGTTGCATTATCTTTACACCCACTCAACTTCTAGCATTTCCTGTGTGCTGTTATGTTAAGTGGATGTTCTCTGCCGAAGGAACAAAGTACCATAAATTCATGTGCCATATTCAAATTACTTTTTCATTGTGCCACTTGACTTGAGTTCTACAGACTCTCTCTTAACTTTCTTTAAGACGGTGTGGGAGGCGAAGAAAAGCTCACATGCCCCTGGGGAGATAGCTCAGTAGAATAAGTGCTTCCCTGGCAAACGCAAGGTCTTGAATTCAATCTCCAGTACCACAAAAAAAAGAGAATGTATTGTATTGTATTTTCTGTTTTGTCTATCACATTCAAAAGTGACATCATATGCATTAATAAAATCCTAGAGTACAGGAAAAAACATATCTTTTTGGCAGTGCTGATGATTAAATCAAGGTCTTGTGCATGCTAGGCAAGGGCTTTCCTGCTGAGTTAGGTCCTTTAACTCAGGGCTGTATAACTAACACTGAAACTGTCCTTTCTTCCATTTCTTCTCATAGGCAGCCTTGGAAGCACTAGATGAACTGGACCTATTTGGGGTGAAAGGTGGGCCCCAATCAGTTATCCATGTCCTTCCTGATGAAGTACAACACTGCCAGGTAAGAAAATAATAGACCATGCAAAAAATAAAAAAAAAAAAAAGAAAGAAAGAAAATAATAGACCATGTTATAGCCAATTTTATCCTTATCCAGATTCAAGCTTAGCAGGAACATTATATTAAAGAGAGCTGAAGGTATAATAAATCATGCGATTTATTGTCATGTGCCAACAAATGTCATTCTTAAGCATCCAATACTGTGATAAGCCCAAGAGCAGAAGCTATACGGTAAATCATAGTCCTGTTCTCTTACCTAAGGTTCTAAAAGAATTCCACCATAGTATATGAAATTTTCCATTGTTATCATATCAAGGGACTACAGTCTCTTCCTAAGAATATCCTTTTCCAAATACGCAGACAGAAAAACAGATAATTGTTTGAGTGTTGATAGTAGCTCTGAAACATTCTCATATCCCTGATTGCCTCTGGGTCAGATATTTGGAGACTGGACAGTTGGGTAAATGTGTACCTTAAGTGTTGTTTAGGAATATTCTTGGTATTGAATGATTAAAGTTTTTCTCGCTGGCACAATGAATCTTCTCTTTTTCTCCAGGCCCTGATTAGAGACCATTGGCATATTAGTGAATATCAACTCACCTAACTTGAAAATTTTCCATGGGAATAATATATGTCAGGGGCATAGGAGCTCAGCCTTCCCCATCCTGCTCTCAGCAGCTACATTTTATCTTAATTAGATCCTTCAATAGCTGCTAATGGAACAACAGGACTTTGGATGACATAATAATGGAAGAAGAGACTTTATGCACCAGCAGCTGCTTAAGAATCAAGATGGGGAAGCACTGAGAAAAGTATTAAGACAAGTGATAACTTACAAAACCAGCATGTTTTTAAGCTCTTGCTATTGCTATTTCAGAACTTTTCTTCTGAAAGATCTTCTTCCTCATAAATCTTTTGTAACTGAAGTTGCTAGTTTTACAGTGTTGAAGTATTTGGTAATGTATCATGTTTGACTTCCTTTCTCTTAGTCTATCCTTAATTCACTACTGCCCCGGGCTTCAACATCCAAAGAGGTTGATGCTAGCCTGCTCTCGGTGATTTCCTTCCCAGCCTTTGCTGTTGAGGACAGCCAGCTGGTGGAGCTCACAAAACAGGAGATCATCACCAAGCTCCAGGTGGGTCTATATGCTTTAAGGCTGGGAGATTTCTTAATCTTTTTTTATTTACCTATTTACCTATTTATTTGGTACATGATCTTGCTTTACAGCTCGGACTCGTAGTGATACTTCTGTTTCAGCCTCCCCAGTGCTGAGATTACAGCTGTGCACCACCATACCCAGTTTTGGGGGTCAGTAGGTATGGCATCCTTGAGGTGAAGCCGGTGCGTCATGTGGTTCCAGGGATCAAACCCAGGTCCTTGCACTTGCCAGTCAGGTGCTTAGACCGCTGAGCTATCTCCGTGGCCTAAGGCTGTGGTTTTAAGAGGAAATTTAGTGCCTTTGGGTACCTTACATATAATGTGCATCAGTGATTTCAAGAAATCTTTCATTTTTTAAGTTGTACTCTTCTGATCACTTTTTGAAAAGGCTGCTACTTTCCACAGTTAGTGCTGGTGCGAATGCTGAATTTTATATCTACTTGGGAAAATGGTTTGATAGTGTTTTACACATTTAAACATACACCTACTATGTGACCTAACAAACTGTCCCATAGATACCTGCCCTACAAAAATGAAAACTTAGGCTTACAGAGAAATCTCCATTCAAATATTTATAGAAGTTTTATTACAATTGCAAAAAAATAGAAACAAACTTCAGTAAAGAAATAGGTAGACAAATTACAAAGCATTCCAGTGAAAAACTATTCAACAATTCAAATGAACTACTGACTATGTGACAATATTGGTGATTCTTACATGTGTTTTGCTAAGAGAAAAAAAACACAAATGACCACATATTATATGATTCTACTCATATGACAGTCTGGAAAAGGCAAGACTAAAGGTGGGAAGAGATTAATGCTTTCTGGAAGTTGGGAGGAGATTGACTATAACAATGCAACACTGCAGAATGCTGAGGGTCATGGAGTAGCATTCTATGGAACTGTGCTGGTAGATTCATGACTCTGTGTAGTTTGTCAATACCCATAAGTAAATTTAAAAAATCAACCAACGTATGGGAAAAAATGAACTATCAACTGAAAAATGAGTCTAATTGCATTGCAAATTAATCATATAACTATACTAAAAGGGATGAAAAAAGGAGCTCAGAAAATTCTGTTTTGACTGGATATTGTAAGCCTAAACCCAAAAAACATGCACACTATTCTTCGGGGATTAACAGACTATAGCCTGTGAGCTGCCCAGTTGCTCTTGCACGGTTTTATTGGAGCACAATCCAGCTATGTTTATGTACCATGTACTGCTGCTTTCAAGGTACAGTAACAGGGCTGACTAGCTCCACTGGAGGCCATATGGCCTGGCAAACCTAAACTATTTACTATCTTGCCCTTTAAAAAAGTATTTACTAACTTTTGCTCAGGTTGATAAATTTGTTTCTCTTTTTTTCTCAAAGAATGGGTGTGTTGATAGAAAAAAGAACTCAGGAAAAGGAATATTGTGGGACTGTCCTGCTTCAAGGTTGTATATGGTGAGATTTTTGGACTTATGTGCAAACATGAGAAGCATAGAATTCTTTATCCT